AAGGCAGGATATAAGCAGTCTTCCATACTCTCCTTCTTCTATTTCTACTCCTTTTTATTCTTTATCCTTCATTTCCCACCTTACTGTTATTTTCTGTCTATTTTTTAAAGGCAGGATATAGGCAGTCTTCCATACTTCTCAGTTGTTACCATGGTTCTTGGCATAATTTTTCCCAGGCCAAAATCACTCTCTGAAGCAATTCCCTTCATGTTTCAGAGGTTAGCATAGACCAAAGGCTGCCTATAGGCAGCTGGTATACAGCAACTCTGGTTTGAACGTTAGAGAGTTTAGCCATAAGGATGCAAGCCAGTCTGTGCCTTTTAGCTTCCAGGCATCAATCCCTGCACCACTGTTACCTTGTGTGAATGTAACCAATGCCTAAAATACAGAAATGACATTTCCATGCTGCACTTTATTTGCTTCCTGTCATGAGAGTCCCCCTGGATACCACTGGGGAATGGGAGATGGATGGCTTGGCAGATGTTCAGGTTACCAGGTAACTTAATCTTGTGCAGGATTATTATATCAATTAGTTCTAATATGTGTTGCTATGAAATTAGAGAACTTCTTTTCCAATTGGGGAATTTTGCAGAATTTGGCCAGCAGCTTATCTCTGTTCACATGTCCTAACCATATGCCAGCTCCTCACCCTGCACCCCAGTTTCCTTGGGAAGCAAACCTGAGCATGAAACAGCAAGATGGGATCTGCAGCTCACACCAACAGGATGTGGACAATCCAGGAGTATCATATCCAGGAGTTCTTTTTTGTTAATATTTCCTTAAGATTTACACTGAGAAAAGGTTAGTATTCTCTTCTTTATGGATGGACGTGTAAAATAAGCAAATTTCCTGTACTTCTGATCAACTCATCAGCTTATTTTTGCTAATTTTTTTAAAAAAAGAAAGCAAATATTGATATTTTCAGTGTTTTCTGATATATTTGGTGGGTATTTTGTTTTGAAAAGCAAAAATACTCTTCCCAAATTATTCAGTTAAAAGTAACCTGATATGGATCCTCTGCTCACTTCTTTATTTTACCTTTTCACTAAAAATGTAGTTAAATGAAAACATGGTTGATGAGAACTAGTAAGCAGAATCATAGTGATAGACATAAGAGAAAGCATAACACTCATTTACAGTTGTAAAATACTGCCAACTTCTTTAATTTTCACAAAAAGACATCACAGCCAGAACCAATTTTTAAGAGAAACCTTTAAAAATTGCAAACAGAAAATTATTAAGTGTCCGTGTATCAAACTCCTTTTGTATTCCCTGCAGTGGCAGCCAGATGACAAGCCAAGCTGCTTATTGTCCCAGGAATCATGATCACTTATCAACATTTCCACAATCATTGCCTCCAATTGATGATAAAATGATGGCAAAAAAAAGAAAATAATGGAGGAAGTTTTCAAAGTGTAGCACTCATTAGTTTTGAAAAGATTTGTGTATATGGCAGGGCTTACATGCTACTGCCAAAGAATTGCCCTGATTTCGTAGTATGTGAGCTTTTACTGATGTCCATGAGCTCCTATAAAGCCTAAATATGAGATTTGGCAGAAGATAAGGTTTTTCATGAGCTTGAGGAAGTGACTCTGCTTTTCTGGCTAAAGTATGAAAGATTGTGGGTGTCGTGAACATTTTTACTGAGTGCCAAATGAAGGGAATGCAGTCTTTTTGCGGCTGCTGGGTGAGATGATCCAGAAAATGAGCTGGCATGACCAACATTGCTAGTTTGCACCTGTCTACCACCTACTTACCACCAAACAGTCATTGTTTAAGTCAGACGTAAACCAAAACTTACGACTTCTTGTGATGCTTATACCAATACATAAAGTCCAAGGTACCTAGTAGCTTTCTGTTTATACTTTCTATCACATGCCAGGTAACCAATACCAAGAGTGATGCTGTTCTTTGAGGTGGCAGCGTGAGTCCTTTGAGTCTCCACAGTCCAAATTCCCCATTTCATTCAGGCCTGTGAGGCACAGAGAACTACCTAAAGGCACAAAGCTCTCAGCTTCCATCATTCTTAGCAGCAGCTGCCTCAACATCACATTCTAGATATGCAACTAGAAGCAAAATCCCACAATGCTTGGCACGTTCCTGCCTGTTGTATCCTTTGCCTAATTAAGACCTGCAAGTACAAGCCTGTAACATGCTCTGTCACCAGTTTATCCAGAAAAATCTCCTGTGGACATGGATTTGTTAAGAATAGAAGGTTTCGTCAGTCCAGACATGGCTTCAATTTTCTTTTTGTTTCTATTTCTTAGTCACAACTTATCCAGCTCAGATTTATGACAAGAGCTCCAAACCACATGAGATTTCTGTACAGATATAATTCCCCTTCAGCTTCACCCCACTATATTCTTTGTACTTGTCAAGAAAGAAGCTGAGGCACAGAAAAGGGCTGTAATTTGTCCAAAAGGTGACAGAGGTAGAAACAGAACCAGAATCTCCTGATTCTTAGTCCAATTCTGCAGTCCTCAGGTAATTAGGTATTAGCATGCCCATAATAACCTCCTATAAAGAAGTCCTTAATGCCGTTTTAATCACTGAATAAAGTGATTGATAAATTATGAAATAGTTAAATAATAGTTAATTTTTCTACATCATTAGATTAATAACCTATTGCTTACTTTAATAGCTTGTAAACATGGGTAGTGAATCTAGATACGGAAACAGTAAATGTCTGAAAAGGGAATACAGTGAAGCATTGCTAAGACAATGCATTTCTTTAGACTTCCAAACGTGCACAATGTAATTATGCTTCGACAATAGATCTGGGAAGTAGAAACAGGGCAAAAGAAAATAATGGAAATTAATTAACAACAGAAACCACCTCTGTAGAGAGTGGGAAATTTGAGACTGGCCAGTGGTATCTTTTGAACTCAGCATGGGCTCCATTTCTTTGCTTTTTCCACTGTCCTTCTTACATGCTGCCTTTGTGCCAGTGCAAGCGTTAAAATGAGTATTTTCTTGCTTTATGCTGTTATTGAGAGTTCTTATTTTCCCATTAATTTTAGCAGTACATTAAATGCCTTCTTTTTGAGCATTTTATGAACCAAATAAATAAACAAATTCAGAGAGAAAGCACTTGCATGTCTTAGACAAACACAATGATTCCTCACATCTCCATAGAGCCAAAACTTGCCTTACTCCACTATTTAGCAGTATGAGCAGATTTGCAACCCACAATTTGCAACGTGAGTTTCCAAGCACTGTAGCCTTTTCTCTTGATGCCTATAATTACTTCAGTCTTGTAAAGGCCAGTAGCTCACACCCTAAGGTGTTTTGAGACTTTTTCTCGTTCAGTTACTTTCCTATTAATCCCTTTCTGAAGACCACATTAAAAAAAAAATAAATGCCATGACATTTGCTGTCTTATATTCATTGATGCCAAGACAGCTTCAACAGTAACTTCTATGTCCCATTCAGTTGTGCAGAAGTTATATATTGCAATTTTCTTAGAGTCCTTTGGTGAAAATTCAATCTTGATTCATCATTTGAATGACCCATTCTAAAGCTGTTTGACTGATGGTTTGACTGGAGATGATGGATAGATTTCCCATAAAGAACAGAATGTCCCTAAACTTGTTTGTAATGAACATTGGTGAAGATAATCCATTGTTTTTTCAGCTAGGGTCTCATATTTGTTATCCTATCCTCTAATATCTCAGTCATCCGTTGGCCTGTAGACTGAATTATAACCACTGTATTTCTCGCACACTTGTAAAAATCACCATTAGGGTAAATGCTTTTAGTAATTTGTTCCTCTAATCTATTGAGAGTTTTTTTCAGGCTGACTTTTATCTTTTTATTGAATGTGACTGTGTTTGTGCTCTTTTAAACCCAACCTATTTGGACAGTGTTTTCATTATTTTTACTGTAGCATCCTTTATTGCACTGTTTCGAATCTTCATGTCCTTTCACATTCTCTTCTGAGTCTTCAGTATGGCATCTCCATAGTCTTTATGCCACCTGGAAGTATTTTACCCTTTGAAACTGACTCTTTACATTTCATTCTTGAATGCTTTTCCATTATTATTTTCTTCATATTCCAGGTTACTTGCTAAGTTTCTTTCATATGTACCATTTATAATCAGTCTAACAAAGAGCTTCTTCCATAGTATTCTCTGGTGCCAAATCTTGGTCCCTTTTTCAGGAATACATCAAGAGCTGCTTCTCCTTTTGAGAAAGCAAACAGAAAAATTCCTCCAAAGAGCAGCTGTTCATGTTTTAGAAAAAATTGATCCCTACCTCATAGCTTTCCCATGAATTTTGACAACCTTCTTGAAAGTACTTACATTGTCTCTGTGTTTGGAGGAAAATATTTGTATATCACATGAACCACAGTAAAATCACAGAAGTTGATAGCACTGTTGAAAAGAAATGCTGAGAAGCTTGATGATAAAACAGCTGGTGCCTCTGGGGCTGTTGCTGTTGTCTAGAAAATGATGTCAAAAGAACACAGCTTTGCAGTCTTCAAACAACATAGGGTTGTTGTTGTTCCTTGGAACCACCTAGGAGGCTTTGATAGCATATAAAGTAATAATAAGAGTAATACCAAGTATACTTTCATCTCATGGGGTTTTTTTGTCTTTTAATGATGGAGGTTGCTGATAATTCTGTAAGACAGCAGAGGAGAGTGGCTGCTTACTGCCATTGTGTGCCCAGCCAACAAGCGTCATAGTTTAGTCAAGTTACAGTCTGAGCAGAGGTGCTGAAGCCAGAGAAAGCACTCTCCTCTGCTAGCTATTTATGATAGACTTTAATGGGAGCAGGATTTGACTAAGTCCCAGCTGCACATATTTAGGAGGAATCAATCATCAGTGTTTAAAAGAAATAGCAGCTATAAGGCTCAAGGAGTTAATAGAGATCAAATGGTAAAGGAATCTGTTTTATACACTGGTGTATGTGGCTATCCACAGGACAAGCAATGGCAGTCATTCTGACATAGGTATGAGCACATGATAGCTATATCAATATATTTTAACCTTTGGCAGATTGAGAAGACAGCAGGACCAAAGTGGACAGACTTCCAGCATGGACAGCAGAGCATCCCTTCAGAGCCACGAGAAACTCCAAGATGGACGTAACAACAATTTACTGGGACACGGCTGCACACGAGGCTGCAGCAGCTAGTGAGCTACAGTCCAACACATGCTTCGACCCTGGCAAGGCGAGGAAAGGTCCTCTCTGTGCATGCCCTCTTCTTCACCCCTGGGATACTGGGTCATCCGACTCCAAAAGCAGGATCCCCAGCCAAGGACAAAGCCACAGAGCACGCTGGCTGACTTTCCACGTACATCCCTGCTCTTCTTTTGACTCTGCCACTGGAAAAGTGACCATCAGCAGCAAAATACAGTTTTATAAGTAAGAGTGACTTTCCTTTTCAAAATCCTGGAAGAAAACTTGAAACAATTCATTACGCAGCCTCTCAAAGATTGCCAAGCTTCTGGCGACTCACAAGAGACAAAGTTCTATGTGGGCCAGCTTTATCTTGAAGGCTTCACATTAGCCTCTCTGTCTTCATTAATTAAAATGGAATTTTGTGAAACTGCTGGATATAGCTGTTTCCGAGCACCTGCTGTTGAGTTTATAACAGAAGTCTATGATGTAAATATGTGAATGTAGTGTCAAATAGGCCAAATACTGAATAATTTCATTCAAATAACTGAAGCCCATTGGAAAAGTTGCAGCATGAATGTATTCCCATTGTTCTTTATCATCATGCATTCTGCTTTGTAGTAAAAGATGTGACCCTAGCCAAGTCAAAGTTTTGCTAGTGACTTTAGTGGACGCGGGATCAGACACATTAGTGGTGTATGTTAACCATGACAAAGACAGACCTTTTTATTTGTAACAATAGGCTGACCGAGACAGAGCTTAAAGGCAGCTTAGTAAGGAGAGATAAAAACACTAAGAATTTGCTCAGATCCATAGTTAAGTGTTATAAAATGTGAAGAAGTTACACGTGTCTCTGTTTTCATGGATCTATTCTGGATGAGAACTACCCTGAATAGAAAGAAACATGCTTTATCCAAAGTGTTGCTGACATGAAAGCCTTTTTTTTTAAACAACTCTCACAATTACAAACATTTACGGTGTTTTACAACTTGTACATTCCACATTTTGATAATAAATGCATGCTTGTTCTGTCCTACTGTGCTTTCATTTCTAAGGGTTACCATCCATAAGCAAGTTTCATTTCAACTTTTTAAAACAAATAAGTTAGGCTTTTGGAAGTTAAAAACATTTTATTTGTAATAATCTATTTTTACTGTATTGTTTCCATTCTATCTTTTGCAAAACAAAGTTCTTTGTAACTGAATCTATTTTAAAATTTGGTTTTACATTATATGTAATTTTTGTCAAAATTTTTCACAAAATACAGATTTGTATTGCTCCATGAAATTATATGGTGTTCCTATCAACAACAGAGCAGTTTACAAAGTACTACGGTAAAGGTTTTACATGTGTCATGAGCATGGTGTTGGTCTACTTCCTTAATTAGGATCAAGCAAAGGAGCAGAGATTTTTCATGAGAGGACAGATTTCATTGCTCAGAATAAACTAACTCATGTCCATCCTTTCTTATAGTGCTTAATATTGGTTTCACTTGGGAAGGAGCAAAGTGGATAACATTTCACATAATTTCTGGAAACACCTATTCTTCAATTACAATCAAAATGCATTATGATCTTGGATCTTGAGATGGATCTTGATCCTGGAAAGAAATAAAGGTTTTATTTACTTGAGTAATTGCACCTAAATTAAATTCACAAGTAAATGCTTGCAGGATCCATGATGTATCAGGTGATATAGATGTCATGGAGGTTTTTGAAGTAGGGCTAGTAATTTATTAAGGTTTTCCATGTAAAAAATTCCAATTTGGGAAAAAAAGGCAATTGCAAATGTGCTTTTTTTTCTGTTATTATAGTTGTTTTGAACAAGAAAATTACTGTGGGTGATCTTGTATAACATCAAGCACATAGTATGGAACTGTACTAACACCTTAATTCAGGCTGGGAAGGCAATTTTGAAGGTAGTGTCTCAGCCTTACAGTTCCACTGCATTTTGTTCATCCCGTAACACCCAAATCTGATTCTTTTTGGATGATACAAACCCAGAAGATGTGCTCCAAGAGAGCATTTGATGCCATCCTTCCAGCTATGGGCCTGTAGACCACAGGAACTGGTGAAATAATGTCTGAAATTAAACTTCCCCAGATGTGCCTCATGTCTGCATCGTCACCTGCTCCACTTTGCAGAGCCCCTCCTGTTGGGCTGTGCTTCCTGCTATCGCACATGCACCCGTGGAGAAGCCTGGGTTTATAGAACATAATGTTAATGGAATGAAGGATCCACAGCCTTTAGAGTGTAAGAAGTTCACCAGTGACTGTATTAAAAATTCGGAGAGTTTTCTGCGGATAGAATTTAATTAGCAGCAGGATTCTACCAGACATTTGCAGTTTGATCTGGCTGGCTGCTGCGTGTCTTTGACGATGCTTTTCTAATCTGGTTTTGAGAGAAGACTGGCTATTCCACAAATGTCATCTACTTAACTATGTTTGCACTGAGTATTGAGCATGAATGCAAGCTCACTCAGACACTTTAATTTCACGCTTGTTGTCACACGATCGTTTCTCAAACAACTCTATCTACAGAAAAAAGAAATCATAGCACCAATCAGCTTTATCCAGAGTACATGGCACTTCCACTGACTGCAAGATGAACCTTATGCTTCATATTATTATTTTTGTCTACTTATTACACAGGTCAGAGAATACCCTCAGCTGTACTGAGGAGACCCAAGGTAGAGTTGTAACATCACAGAATTTTGGAACAGTTTGAATTGGAAGGGACCTTTAAAGGTCATGTAGTCCAATGCTCCTGCAACAAGCAAAGACACCACAGACTCACAGAATGGTTTGGGCTGAAGGGACATTAAAGAACACCTAGTTCCAACACCACTAGGGACACCTTCCACTAGGCCACGTTGCTCAAAGCCACGTCCAGCCTGGCCTTGAACACTTCTAGGAATGGGGCATCCACAGCTTCTTGGGGTTATGAGTGCCAATGCCTCACCAACCTCACAGTAAAGAATTTCTTCCTTTTACCTAATCTAGGTCTCCCTCTTTCATTTTAACCATTCCCCCTTGTCCTATCACCACTTGCTCTTATAAAAAGTCCCCCTGCAGTTTTCTTGTAGGCCCCATTTATGGACCTGAAGGAAGCTGATCTAAGGTGTCCCCAGAGACCAAGCTGAACAAGCCCAAATCTCTCAGTCTGTCTCCACAGGAAAGGCGCTCCAGCCCTCTGATCATCTTCATGGCCTTTCTTTGGACTTGTTCCAACAGGTCCACATCCTTCTTGTGTTGGGGGCCCCAGCACTGAATGCAGTACTGCAGGTGAGGTCTCACAAGAGCAAAGGAGGAGAATCACCTCCCTTGACCTGCTGGCCATGGTCCTTTTGATGCAGCTCACAATATGGTTGACTTTGTGGGCTGCATCTTCAACTAGACCAAGTTACTCAGAGTCCCATCCAACCTGATCTTGAATGTTCAGGGATGTGTCATCTACAACCTATCTGGGCAACCTATACTCTTAGTTTCTCTTTTCTTCTGACCAACATAGGTGTAAGGAACTGGCCCTCATAATGGTGTAGAAGAAGAAAGGTCATACTGTATATATAGTATGTGCTTCGTGAGGACACAACAAGTACTACAGGAAAAGTCACATAGCCTGGGAGTAAGCCTGAGAAGTGCTTGGCTGGGGCTTGTCTCCTCTAGCTTTAGACATAAGAAAAGTGTCCACATATGCAGCTGTTAGTTAGATCCAGGTTCAAAAACAGAGGGTAAGAGGGGGCAAAGAGGATGCGGTGCACTTGCTCTGTCTTGATTATCTCTTTTATCAGATGGCTCTCTGTGTAGCTCTGCCACCACGGAGGCAGTGTATGTCAGTGTACATAGCTCAGATGTGGACATGCCCATTGTGCAGTGACATTTAGTCAGACGAATCTTGTTTGTGGTGGCACAGACAATTTGTGGAGATCCAGTCCAATCCTTATGAAAAAATGGGAACATTTCTGATCACTTCAACACGAGTGAGAGCAGTTTAAATAGTTTTTATCCTTACGTGCAAAAGTGATATTAGAGCACTGAGAAATTACACAAAAATATTCTCTTGCAATGAATACTGCCTTGCTTTCCAGCAGAAATGAAAGGAGGGAGGGCAACCTAAATGAGATGTAGAAGGTTTTTACAAAATACTCAGTGAGATGGAAAGGAAAACAAAGCGGAGCAGTCATAAAACCGAAAGAAACTCCTTGGGACTCATTTATCCTATACAGCCTTATTGCCTTGCAAAAGCAGCCAGTGATCTTAACTCCCAAAGTGTCATCTGGTTTCTCCAAGTCATTTCAAGGGTAAAATATTCTTTCTCATTTGAGTTCCAGGGAAGAGGGAAGGAAGTCTAACACAGCTGGAAAAGCAGTTTGCTGCTATAACATTTTATTGCAGTGCCACTTGCTCTGCGGTGTTACAGTTCTGATCACACATGCACACTCCCACTGCATCACTCTATGTTTAACTCTGCCAGATTTACCTTCTGTTCAGCTTGCTCTTTCTACATTGTGTTTTAAATATTGGCACTATGCTGTAAATATTTAATTACCAACTGTCATAAAATACAAATGGCTCCTTTCATCTGTGATCTTGACGAAAATTATTAATGAAATGTTTCCAGAGGTTTTTCCTGCAGATTTGGGATGGGGGGTGGGATGGGTGGGAGAGTTGGTTATAGATCTTGGCACACTATTCAAAATGACATCAAAGTACATAACAGAGGAAATGCTAGGCACCAGTCCACGCTTACATTCCATTCTTTCAGATGTTTTAGATGTTTTCTGATGGCAGAAATCTGATCACATTTCAAAGTGATTTCTGACAGTTTAAATTAACACAAATATTGGTGTATTGGGATGTACTGAGGAACTCTGGTTGGCTGAGTAAAATCCATGGCATTTTTCTGTTTTCCAGTTGGGTAGCTATGCCAACACTTCAGCTATGAAAGTGTCTGCCAACATGGGAGAAGCTTAAAGGGTTTGGACAGATACATTTAGAGTTTTGGTGGGAGCTGTAA